AAAAAAAAAAAAAAAAAAAAAAAAAAAAAAAAAAGAAGTACCCCCCATCATATCTTGGCTACATTGTATAGAAAGCCTATGCTAGGAAAATAAAATACTGTGTATGGGAGCTGCCAAAAGTATATTGTTGCAACTGAGAATGAAAGGTATCAGAAGACCTCGTAAAGGCTAGTGTGAACTTGGAATTTAAGGGATAAAAGATTCTCTTAGGACTGGAGAGGGAGGGAGAAGGGAGGTGGAGGGAGTGGGAGGGAAATGGGAGGATGGGAGGAGGTAGAAATTTTTAATAAATAAATAAAAGAACTTTAAAAAAAAGATTTTCTAAGAGGAGTGGAGAGGTGGCTCTATGGTTAAGAGCACTGGCTACTCTTCCAGGGGTCATGAATTCAATTCCCAGCAACCACATGGTGGCCCAAAGCCATTTGTAGTGAAATCTGGTGCAGACATACGTGCAGGCAGAACATGGTATACATAATAAACAAATCTTTAAAAAAAATAGAGTGGGGGGCTGGAGAGATGACTCAGAGGTTAAGAATACTGCCTGTTCTTCCAAAGGTCCTGACTTCAATTCCCAGCAACCACATGGTGGCTCACAACCATCTGTAATGAGATCTGGTGCCTTCTTCTAGCCTGCAGGAAAGCGTGCGGGCAGAACACAGTATATATAATATATAAATATTTTCAAAGAAGTGGTTTTGTTGTGATAGTAAAAGTGACTGGTACATAGCATGTACGTCAGAAAATAAAGCTAAAAAGTCTAGGGAATAGTCTTAAGGATAGAGTGAAGATGTGAAGAGCAAGAAAAGTACATGATCAATTTGGTGTGTGTGTGTGTGTGTGCGTGTGTGTGTGTGTGTGTGTGTGTGTGCGTGCGTGTGTGTGTGTGTGTGTGTGTTGAACAGAAGACCTCACATAAGACTAAACTAGTATTCTACCAGTGAACTAATCCCAATGTAATAATTTAATCACTTGATTTAGTAAAAATTCTGATGAAAACTCTCAAAGAAAGTGGAGGCATAGAGGCCAGTGATGAGAGTCTAGGAATCTTCAAGAGAAGAAAGGACAAGTGTTTGCAAAAGCAGACACTGAAACTGAGAGCAATGAGCCAACTTTCAGTGCACATCCCATCACACCCACACATGGTGCCAAAACATGTACAAATCTGAAGGCAGAGACTTTAGGAGCCAGAAGGCATAAGAGCATTTTGATAATAGTCTGTGGATAGACTGCAGAGTCAACAGTATAAGGTCTGGGAGACCAGAAGAAATAACTGTTAAGAAATAACTGGTCATGATCCCAGCAGTACAGTATCGGTAAGAAGTGGCCAAATTATAAATATATTGCCAACAGATCTGGTAGTAAGTTATATATGAAGTGTAAAAGAGTCCACAGTGAGTGCAACACTTCTGATTTGAGCACTAAAGAGTGCGGTTGTCAATGGTAAAGATAGGGAAAACAGAAGAATGGATTGATGAGAGGAAACACCCCAAGTACAATACTAACTGAATGGTATCTAGTTTACAGATTGCTTTGATTAATGTATGAATAATGAACAAAGCTCCATTTTTATTTGTGAGGATTTAACTAACTAGCCAAACAACAAGGAGCTGATTCTTAATCAGAGATGAACTAAGCCATTTCCATTAGGTTAAACTGAAATGGGGATGTTTTTGCATTTTTAGTTCTAGTACAAACATGAAAAATCAAGTATCTGCTTCATTTCACTGCTTTGGCATACTTGCATCTAGTACTTACTGAAATATTAAAAAAGTATCTGACTGCAAAATAAACTAAAATTATACAATAAAACCAAGACAATTATGGTAGTTTAAATGAGAATGGTCCCCATAGGCTCATGTTTGAATGCTTGGTCTCCAGTTAGTAATACTGTTTAGGAAAAATTAGGTGAGTACTGGTTGAAGAAGGTGTGGCCTTGGAGGTGTGTCTCTGGGGGTGGGCTTTGAGGTTAGAAAAGCTCAAGCTAGCCTCAGTGTCCCTCTCTCTGCCTCCTGCCTAAAGATCAGGACATAAAGCTCTGAGCTACTACTCCAGCACCACACCAGTCTGCTTCCTGCCATGATCATGGACCAACCCTCTAAAACTGTAAGCAAGCCCCCAGTTAAATGTTTTCCTTTATACCAGTTCCTTTGGTCATCATGTCTCTTTATAGCAACAGAACAATAATTAAAAAGTTCTTGATCTTTGATTCTTTATATGAGAGAAAAGGTATGTCTCCATCTCCAATGGTGAAATTTTGTATACCTTTCAGCCAGTTTATTAAACACGTTTGAGTTTAATTATGGATTTTAGTAACAATAAGAGTGCAGAGAATCAAAATTTGACAGATTACTCCATTTTTATTTTTATTTTCTAGTTACTTTATCATAATAATTTTATAATTATACATTAGCATCACATGCATAATGTTCTCAATACTATTTTAAACATTTTATGTGGTGTTCAGAATGAGAATGGACCCCATAGTCACATATATTTGCATGCTTAGTCACTAGGGCATGGAACTGTTAGAGAAGGATTAGAAAGGTTAGGTGTGGTCTTAACGCCGTGGTGTGCCTTGTTGGAGGAAGTATGTTTCAAAAGGCCAGTCTCTCTCTCTCTCTCTCTCTCTCTCTCTCTCTCTCTCTCTCCCTGCATACAGATCACAACACAGCTCCCAGCTACTACTCCAGAGCTGCCTGCATGGTGCCATGTTAACAACATACCAAACCTATGAAACTGTACACAAGCCCCCAATTAAATGCTTTCTCTTATAAAAGTTGCCTTGGCAAAGGTGTCTATTCATAGCAATAGAACAGTGACTAAGACACACTATTAATTAGCTTTGCTTTGAATTGATGTTGTGGATAGGTAACAAGTAACCAAACACTAATAAAAAGACTAAGCGGATTTTAACTGTAATTTGATTATTCATCTTTATAAGTAAAGAAAAATTACATTAAAAATGTTCTTTTAGTGATTTTTTAATTTTATTATCTCGGTGTATATGTGCATTATTTATAATGCGTGGGAAGATCTACAGAGGTCATGTGTACTAGTCAGAGGACAACTTTGTAGGCTCCTTTCTTTTCACTTCCACCCTTACATAAACTCAGAGATCAAACACAGGTCCTCAGGGTTTACTGTCAGACAGAAAGCACCTTTACTCACTCTGCCCCTTGAGAAGATATAAACCTATACAAACACAATCAACCAGCTAATTACATTTTTAAAGACCCCCTAAGGGCATTTAAACAATACCCTGACCATCTTCCAGGTACTCTCATCATGGGGTAAATTACATCACTGCAAGTTCAGAGTAAAACATTCAAAGGTTGCACCTTTCCTGAAGTTTGTCATATTTTTACTGGTATAGAAAAAACTGTGATTGCTAGCTATGCAAATGATCAGAAAGTTATTATACAAGGCAGTGCTATAAAACCTATAAATCTAAATTTGATATTAGCCTCTGCACGAAAACCCCTTTCTCCACCTCAAGTGAAGACGCTGAAATTCAAATGTTTCTATAAATTAACAGTGGAAACAGAACTCGGTTCTCAGCTTTCCACCATTTGTCAGCCTAACACTATCTTGAATTTAGGTGTTCCCCACTTACTACCTATTCTCAGTAGTGGTCTCCTTCCATGGCCTCTTTATCACATTTAACACACTAAAATCTAATAAATTATTTTTGTCTAACCCCATAGCATTGGCAACTGACCTCTATCATTTCTTTAGTTCTGAATCCCAATAGTGTTTGGCACTTATTAAATATTAAAAAATATTTGCTGAATTAATTAATTTTAATCAAACTAGACAACACTTGACTATAGATACTGTAACCAAGCATTGTAATAACTAGTGTGTTCCTAAAGTCACTTATCATCATGCCAAAACAATAAACAGAAATCTTAGCTGATTTCTATAATGCACTAGTCCTCATGTTTCTGTCCTGCTGCATACATAACAATATTAGACAACGGCAAAACGCAGAATCATCTTTCAACACCCCATCTCCCTTCACCCACCACTGTGTCTGAAGATAATGCCAAGGACAAGTTCCAATTAACAGTCTCCACTAAATGCTATACCAATAATATTAGCACTATGTTATCAAGATAAACTGCCTATCGATGTCTCCTTCTACTTTCAAATCAAGTCTTTTTTCATAACACTGGGTCAAACCACTAGGCACTTTCATTTTCCTTTGCTACAAAAGCATACCATATCACAATAGTTTTCATACATTGCTAATTTGCATTTTTCCTTATCTCCTCACAGGTAAATTTGTTAGATAACCTGTTGTTGGTTACTATATTCATTTAAAATTACACTGAAGTAGTTCCCTCTTACCTAAAGTTTCACCTTCTGCGACCTGACTTTTAGTAGTGTCAGTTATCTATGGCTGACCCAAAACATCAAATAACAAATGCCAGAAATAAACAATCCATACATCTTAAATTGCATGCAAGTCTACACAGAACAATGAATTTTCACAGCATTCCACTCTATCCCATCTGTGATATGAATCATCCACAATCTGTATGCATTACCCGCTTACAGTAACTATGCCAGTTATCAGATTAACTGTTACAGTATCCATAGTAATTGTAATCAACTTAATATGGCAACAAAGCACAACCATGGACATTGGCAGCATTTCAATTGTATCTTCTTATAACTGCTCTATTTTATTAGTATTATTATCAATCTCTTACTCTGCCTGTCTAAGGTATGCATATATAGAAAAAGCACAGGATACATTACAGAGTCTGGTACTATCCTGGGCTTCAGGTAAAGGGTAAACTAATATATTATATGAGTGTGTGTGTATGTGTGTGTGTTTCTGAAACCAGTGACACATATACAAATGTTTCTATCATCGAAATCAGAGAATATTGGTAGTATGGTATTCTTTATTTTGAAAATTTATGTGTAAGACAATAAAACTATCATAAAATTGCTAATTTCTTTTTCTACTTCATTGTAAAAAGGTTTCAATTTTCTATGCCAGTTTATTCATCATAAATTATTATTAAGAGTACTAATAAATGAAACCTGAACTTTAAAGAATATAGGAGTCATCCTGATTAGCAAAATTTGTATTAAATGAACTTTTAGTTATAGTATCTTAAGCATAAAACCTAACATAAGCAACAAAACAAATAAATCAGTGACAAAGTACTCACATAACTATATTACAGATCTCAGAAAATAGACATTCAGAAAAAAAATGTAAGGCTACTCAGTGGTACTGTCATGTATATCCAGCAAACCTTCAGACTGCAGTTACACTTCGAAGAGAACAAATCAGTAAGTAGCTCATCCCGAGTCAGGTTGAGGAGCTTGTCCATGGTTCACATTTTTATTTTCTTAGCTTTTCAAGCCAATAATCAGCCTGTAATAATAATAAAAAGAATAGACATGAATATATGGTTCTTTGTAGTTACCACTGCCTCTATTAGATAACATAAGCATAGAGGATGTTTAGAAAAGTGATGCTGTTCTGTGTGAGCCTACAATGATGGATACAAGTCATGCATCTGTCACTTACAGAAAGTACTGCAGTCAGAGTGGAACCTAAAGTAAGCTAAGGACTCTGGATAACAATGATGAGTCAGTGTTGGCTCTAGGCTGACAATAAGCAGGCCACTATGGTAGGAACGCGATGGGAGGAGGACGGGTATGTATGTACCAGCAGGGGAAATATAAAAATACTGAACTGCATTCAGTTCCCAGTACTGCAGAATAAGAACATGAGCTTTTAAAAGATACTGTATATGGTCTTTCAAGTAAGAAAAGTCTGAATTTATATCCAGATCTGAATTCTTAAAGCTCTGCTTTTCTATATATGTCCTACTTATCATCTTATAAAATTAGATTGCCCAGAACATTCCCTCGAATCAAAATTTTCATGTGAAATGGGAATTATAGCATGAGCCTGCAATCCCAGATCCTTAGAAGATGGTGGTAGGAGGATCCCAATTTCAAGGCCCATCTGGGTGATACACAAGACTCTTTCTCAAAATTGAGATGGGGGGAGGTTTGAGATATATCAACAGAATAAAATGTTGCCTACTAGCATAAGATGACCCTGGTTCAACATTCATCAATGCAAAATAAATAAATAAGTTTGTTAAAATGAGTGTTAGAGACAAACAAAACTCTCTGTCTAGTGCTATCAAGAAAAATAAAAAAAATAAAAATAAAAACAAAAAGGTACAAACACTTTAAATATGCTGGTATGCTGCTAGTGCAACAGGATTACTTACTGTGACAAACCAGTAAGAATCTGGTCTGTAAATCAACTTTGATAAGAAGCTGAACTGTTTGACTGGTGCTATGACATGAAGGTGCAGATGAGAAATGGAACAGAATGGTGGCATATGGAAACCCATTCTGTAACAGAAGAGATTATTGACAAGTCACTTCTCAATTTTTAAATTACTTGTAAATCACACAAAATTAAAAATATCCAAAGGTGAACAAATTACCATTCATTGATCATTTTTTGTTTTCTTTATGCTCTTGAGTTTTTGCAATGTGTTGCAATTCATAGACAATGCATACCATTTATCAAAGAAAGCCTGATAAAACCTCTAGAGAGTGTGAATTGTATTATTACTAGTCACTTCAGTACTTATCATAATAAGCTTAGTTCAGCAAAGATGTATCCTGTAATGAATCTCAAAGCAAATGTACTGGACATTACTTTAAGACATTGCCAGTAGATGGCAGGCTTTCACTTCTAATAAAATACTCAGACAGTGACCAACATTTCTCTGGTAAGAGCAATCCAATCATTATTACAAAAAAAAAAAAAAAAAAAAAAAAAGCTTTTGTCATCAGATAAGGTTGTTAAATACTAAAACAACTTATATTATTTGTTGATAATTTCTTACTTTATAAAACATTTATAAGATTATTCTTTTAAATAGGAAAGCATTTAAACTCTTAAAAATCAATTAAATGTTATGGGTTTGGGCTCAAACTTTGTTAAATGCTAGAGTTCAGCTCAGCAAGCAATGAATTCAAGTTAATTTTATGCTAGAAGCCTAATAATAGGGTGCGTGTGTGTGTGTGTGTGTGTGTGCGTGTGTGTGTACACGTACAGGTGTGGCTGGTCTGCACACTCGTACATCTCCAGAAAATGACATTGGGTGTCTTGGTTCATCATTTATCTTGAGACAAGACATTTTTCTGAGCCTGGAGCTAGACTGGCAGCCAACAAACCCCAGAAATCCTCCTGTCTCTGCCTCCAATCATGCTGGGACTATAGCCCTGCCTGGGTTTTTACCTAAATTCTAGGGACTCAAACTAGGGTCATTATGGCTGTATTGCAAGCACTGTTGCTTACAGAACTATTTCCTTATTCCCAAAAATGATTTTGGTTTGTTTGGGTTTGATTTTTTATTTTGTTTTGCTTTTCAAGACAGTTTCTCTATGTAGCCCTGTCTGTCCTGGAACTTGCTCTATAAACCAGGCTGGACTCGAACTCAGAGATTCACATGCCGATGACCCCTGAATAGGGATTAAAGGCATTCACCACCACTGCTCAGCCCAACAATGTATTTTTAAGCCATGTAAGTTTACATTAATTCGCTTTATCCAATTTTATAGAAATTTATATGGAACAAGAAGGGAGGACTTCTAACTATTTTACCTACTTATTGTTTATATAGACTTGTCTGTCTAACGTACAAGTGAAGGTTTTCAGAAGATGTTGAGGCATACACAACAGGTTTATTACAATTATACTAGCAATGAACTATATTCTCACTTCCAGGAATACTGTATCTAAAGCACAAACTCGGTCACTGCTACTTCCCTTTTCATGAAAAACAAATTTCATAAAATGTTGGTTTCTAGGCAAAGCATACATACCTCACATCTGTAAAGTCAGTGAAATTATTCCTCTCAAGAATGGCTTTCCCAACAGCTACCATGCTCTCAACTGTAAGACAGAAAAGAAACTATACTATACTATGGGACACAGTAAGCTCACTAAAACTTTACTTTCTTCAGGGTATTTACTTTGTCTTTGCTTGTCTTTTTCTGGTATCTTTTTAAAAATTAATTACTTTTATTTTTGTGTAAGTGTGTGTCCAAGTGTATGTCTGTGTGGCATGTGAAAGTCCATAGGGGTCAGAATAAGTGTGCGATTCCCTAGAACTGGAGTTACAGACAGTTGTGAGCTGGCATGTAGGCGTTGGGAACCAAACCCAGGTCCTCTAGAAGAGCAGAAAGTGTTCTTAACCTCTGAGCCATTTCTCTAGCCCCATTTTCTTTTTTTTTTTTTTTTTTTTTTTTTTTTTTCTCCTTTTTTTTTTTTTT